CAGAGCCCCATTGAAAGTAATCCTGCTCCATAGGGTTAGCCCCTGCACAGATGATCCTACACAGTGGTCACAACCAGTCCTCACAGCCCATTGGCCTGGGGCAAACCCCTCCCATTGATGTGCCAGCAGCAATTAAGTCTCTACTACAAAAGGAGAGTGAACACAGCCCACATGGGGGTCCCATCTGGAATTATCAGCTCAGGTGATTGGGGAGGCTATGCCACTGGATCTTATAAGACACCTACTATATAGGGCCACTCTACCAAACCTTGGAGACTTAGCAGCTCTACCTAATACATAGATTTTTAAAAAGCACAGGGAGTAGCCTAAATGAGGAGGCATGTCCCAAATGTAAGAACAGGACAAAATTTCAGAAAAAAAACTAAACAAAATGGAGACAAGAAATCTACTAGATGCAGAATTCAAAATACTGGTTATAAGGATGCTCAATGAACTTAGGGGAAGAGTAGATGAACTTAGTGAGAACTTCAACAAAGAGATAAGAAACATAGAAATGGTGTCAGAAAACATAATAAAGATCCAGTCAAAATGATGGATACATTAACTAAAATGAAGAGTACATTATAGCAGCGGTTCTCAACCTGTGGGTCGCGACCCCTTTGACGGTCGAACGACCCTTTCACAGGGGTCGCCTAAGACCACCCTGAATATCAGATATTTACATTATGATTCATAACAGTAGCAACATTACAGTTATGAAGTAGCAATGAAAATAATTTTATGGTTGGGTCACAACATGAGGAACTGTATTTAAAGGGCCAGGAGGTTGAGAACCACTGCATTATAGGACATGAACAGCAGAGTAGATGAAGCAAAGGATCAAATCAGAGATTTTGAAGGTAAAGAAGCAGAAAATATCCAATCAGAATAGCAAAAGGAAAACACTTAAGTATATATGTTTTAGATAGCATGCAGTTAGATTCTGTTTTTTAATCTAGGCTGATAATCTTTTATTTTTTATTGTGGTGCTTATTTCATTTACATTTAATATGGTTATTGGCTATAATATAAATGTACTTACTTATAACTATTTTTATATGTATGTCTCATGTATATTTTCTCCTCTATTTCTTCTTTACTGCTTACTGTTCCATTTAATAGACATTGTCTAGTGTGCCATCTAAATTCTCTTTATTTACTCTATTTGTTGAATTATTTTCTTAGTGGTTGCTCTGGATATTAAAATATACATCTTAAAACAATATGCTTCACATTAATGCTAATTTATTTCTGCTAGTATACAGAAACTTCTCCAATATAGCTCCTTTTCCTCTCTGCCCTTTGTGCTATTATTATCATAGACAGTATATCTTTATGTATTCTAAAGCTAACAATATTTAATATTTATTGTTTTATGCAGATGTCTTTTAAAGCAGTTGTGAGAAGGAAAGAAAATATATTTATGTTGTACTTTATGTTTTCCTATGTAATTACCTTTACTGGTGTTTGGGTTACAATTTCTATTCAGCCTGACGAATTCCTTTTATTTCTTATAAGGCAAGTCTGATAGCAACTAGTTCTTTAAGGCTTTTTTCTTTTTCTGGGTTTGCCTTTTTCTGGGGCCTTTATTTTATTTATGTATTCAGTCACTCCCCATCACCCACCCTCCCTCTGGCCCTGCCAGCTCCAGGCAATTACTAATCCATTTTCTGTCACTGTAGGTTTTCTTATTCAGGACATCTACACTAATAAAAGAAAAACATGCAAATTTACCATCACTCCACCAATCCATTATACCACAAGCCATGCCCACCGGCCAATCAGGAGCAAGTATGCAAATTAACCCAACTAAGATGGCATTGGCCATGGAGCTGGAGTGAGCAGGAGGTTTGGTTTGCCCCCAGCGATGGAGGAAGCCAAGCTTCCTGCCTACCCTGGCTGGCCCTGGGCTTTGCTCAAGGCTACAAAGTTTCAATTATAGAAGACAAATAAATCCCAGATACCTGCTTCCAGCCCATCCTGGCCTCTGTTCAAGGAGGCACTGAAAAAAAAAAGAAAATGAAAAAAAGGAGATGCTGGGACCTTGGGTCACCAGAGGGTGTGGCCAGCCTGAAAACGGCCATCAGCCCCTCACCCAGGCTGTTCAAGCACCCCAGCAGAACCCCCCCACCCTGAAGGGGCTGTGGCCAGCCTGAAAATGGCCCTCAGCCCCTCACCCAAGCTGGCCCCACCCCCATGGGGAAAGGGTCCCCACTGGGGGCCTTGAACAGCCTGAAAACAGCCATTAGCCCCTCATCCAGGCTGGCCAAGCACCCCAGTGAGGACCCCAACCCTGAAGGGGGTGTGGCCAGCCTGAAACCAGCCCTCAGCCTCTCACCTG